CGAAAAAAAAAAAAAAAAAAAAAAGGAGGAAGAGCACACCCGGGACGGGGGCCTTCACGAAAACGCAAACACTCTACAAAAGGCCCACGCACATGACGATCTTGTATCTATACTCATTTTGCTCAACCTGTTTGCAAAAAACCCCTCATCGACGCATCTCTGCAGGAAGGAGGTACAAATGTCATATTCACACCTTCACAAAAAAAAAAAAAAAAACAAAAAAGTTAAGTAGTTTGCTTTGCCATTGGGGTCAAATGCTCAGCTGAGCTGTGGAGAAGGGCAAAAAAAAAAAAAAAAAAAAAAAAAAAAACACACAAATGTTAATCAGTATTTATGAACCAAGTTTACCACCCGAGCAACCCAGAGCACAGCACAGCAGAGAAGCCCAAAAGGGGTGTAAGGGCCCCGGAGAGGGCGATAAAAATGTGTGCATCGTGCCTTGAGGGGAAGTGCGCGATGCCAAATGTACATACATATGTGTGAACCCTTCGAATGCATGCATCCCTCTGCAAAAAAAAGGCGAATGGAATGACTGCGCCATGTAAACTCATGCTGTTATTTATTTTATTTTTGTTATTATTATTTATATATTTTTGTGTAGGGGGGAAGAGTCCCTTGCGTGAGGTGCGTACCATTTTAATTGCTGTTGTTGCAGCAGATGACTCCAACAAGATGGTGAACAAAGCAAATGCTATACGGCGACGTCACATACACCGGCCAGGGTGCGGGCCGGTGAGTCCGTCTCAACGCCAACCCATTTAAGAAGAAACTCTGCATAGAGGCAGGGGTGTCCAATTACCCCCCCCTTTAACTCAAGTATGCTCGATCAAATATCACTTTCACAAACTGTTCTACCGCGAGGGAGGAAAAAAAAAAAAGGAAAAAATGAGAACCGCGTTAAATCGTACACACATAATAATAACATAAGGGGGAAATCGCTTGCCAAATCAGATCAAAATTTTATAAAGACAGAGTATGCATTACACGAAAGTAGGTTACCCCCCAATACACGTGCAGGTAAATATACCAATGTATGTCATACGCGGCGGCACGCCTGCATTAATATGGCAGAGACCCACTCACAGTTGAATCAAACGAGAAGAAACATATACAAATAAGAATAAACAAAAAAGGAGACTCAAAAAAAGAAATATATATATATAGCGGAAGAGAGGGGAAGCAGAGAATGGTATGGTTAGAATAGGTTTTACTACCCATGGGTGGAGCAGACACACCAAACCGACTGACCGTACATCTGCTCCGCCGACACAGCTACATAATACTACCATGTACATGTCGCAGTGTAAAAAAAAAAAAAAAAAAAAAAAAAAAAATGCTCAGCGTACATTGTCGCCGTCCCAAAACACTATCTTATTCCACTGGGTAAGCAGAAGCATTTTGAGTGCCAAATGAAAAACAGAAGAGGCATGGAAAAGCCTAATCGTATTGTAGTGCGGAATGAGTCTTAGCTTTTTACACCTGACAGAAGCTGCTTGTAATTGTGAGCAGCGAACGCACTGGGGATACAATCTCTGCTTGGTGTCGTATAATTTAAAAAATTTCAGTATGGATCTGAGGAGTTTTCTTTTTCTGTAATAATGAATCATGTCCTTAATGACTTGTACAGGTGGTTGGTGATCTCCTATGAACCTATCATGGCAACTGAGTCCGCATGTGTGGCATCCCGTTTCCTTGCAGAACCGCCTCAACACTTCTATTTCCCTCTTGGTGGCGTACTTCATGTCTTTGTTGAGGCTCTTCCTTGGATTGGAGTACACGCCTGGCATCTTCACGTCGCTCGGCGAAAACTTGTTGTAGCTGCGGTGGGGTGGTGGTGAGAGAAGTTAAGGGGTTCATATGAAGCGGCGGATGTGATGCGATTGATCGGGTACAGCTCCCCCTCCCCCCACTTACGTGCCGCCACACATCTTAAAGAATAAATTAGTCAGGACAAAGTAGCGCAAGTAATTGAAGGTGAGCAGACTCAGCTTATTTATGCGAGTCAACACAAACTTCTTAGTGCACTGGTAGAAGAGGTGATATTTATTTGTTAGCTTGGTGTTTATATAGTAGTCGGAGCTATTGTATATGATTGTCTTGACCAGGCGTCCTTCGTACTGATTGAAGAGGGCTCGTATGAGAATCGCCTGAACAAACTCCGAGGCCACATTTATATAATAATTCACCAGGTTCAATTGGAAAAAGCCAATCACCCTCGAGACGTAATTGGAGCCACTCACTTCTAATATGTACGCCTGCGTCCTTTGCGACACGATGTTCATGTAGTGGAAGAGGAGGAAGGACGAGGCCAGCTGGACAATGTACACGACTGCGGGGGGGGCAAGCGGTTATGTGACGACGCGGTTATGTGACGACGCGGTGATGTGACGAAGCGGTGAATGGGTGAAGGGGTGAAGCGGTGAAGAGAGCGAAGCAACTCACCCAGGAAACGCAACACGAGGGTGCCGAAGAAACCAACCAGGCCACGCAAAATGTTATTCTTTATGTAGGTCCCCTCCAACAAGTAAAACGAATTAATCAGCAGAGAAGTCCTATCAGCAAGAAACTTATTTAAAAAGCGAACAGATAAAAGGTTCGAAAGTGTGGACACGGACCTCAAGCTAACATATCTCTTGAGCAGCTTGGGAGACTGTTTTATAAAATAAAAAATTTTGCTTCGGTTAAGGTTATTATAATTTACACTCTCCAATGCCCGGCAGCTATTGTATATCATGTTCACTTCATTTTTAAAAAAGCATTCATTACATAACCTCTTGCGAATGTGCTTTCCTTTATTGAATAGGACATTCAGCGGCACGTTGTAGCTCTGCTCATTTTTGTATATGGACTTGACGAAAAATAAGTTAATAAAGAATAAAAGCAGCAGGGATAAAATGATTGAAACGATTTTCATTTTTCTTCTCGAGTGGAATGTCTGTGCATGCTAATCATTTGTCTAGAGGCCAGTTTGTGTGTGTGTGTGGGGGGTTTTGTTCTGTTTCTCGGTGTGTCCTCGCTGAACCAGTTTCTCTTCCACCTCCGCTACCACTTTTCGCTGCTTATCCACGTGTCTGCGGAAATGCCTCAACAAAATGTCCAGGGGGGGGAAAAAAAAAAAAAAAAAAAAAAAAAAAAAAAAAAAAAAAAAAAAAAAAAAAAAGGATGAGAAGGGGGGAAGTGGGAACGGGTCAAAATGGCACATAAAAAAAGAAGAGTAACAACTGCAGGGGGATTACCCTCAGCGTGCGCTCATAAGGACGGCAAATTGGCTTCGCCGCAATGCCCCCCCCGTCAGGCGAAGTAGGGAGTCAAAATCCAGCACAAAAAAATTTGGGACAGAGAAAAAATGAGGATCAACACGTTAATCCGCTTTATGTTTAGGTGATTGGAGAGGCTGGAGTCATCGTGCACGTACAGGTGAATGGACTTAAAGAGTTGCATCATCTGCACACTGACTGTGACGTAAAAGTAAATCTGTGTCAACCGATACATGGTCCGGCTATTTAGAAACAGGACGACATTGTACGGGCTAAAGCTCGACAACGGGGGTGCACTCATACTCTTGAAGGCATTGTGTGGGCTCTTGTTCACTAACACATTCGCATTCGACTCATCTTTGCCCTGCATGTCTTCTGGTATCCCGTATAAAGAAGCACATGTAAAGTGTAACAGGTAAAAGAAAAATTTGGTTATTATTAACCCACACAGAATTACAAACTTGTATGAAATGAAGGAGAGGATGTGCAAAAAGGAGAGGTTAATATCCCGGCATGTGAGCAAAAACAAGAATTTAATAATTGCTGTTTCGAAGAAGAGCAGGAGAAAAACATAAGATGTTATGTTGAAGAGGTTGTCCGGGTTAAATACAAAATTATTTTTTTGAGCTGTGATTGTTAGGGTATACAGAAGGATGTATGTGATGCTCGACATGAGTGGTATGTACAGGTCCGCTTTGAAAATACCCATATTACTACTGTAGTCGATGTAATTTATATCGTTTGAGTTGTGTCTCCCGGGGTTCCCTCGCTGTGTATCTGCACCACCACCTACACTGCTTCCCCCATTCACTCCGCCAACGTCGCTCACACCGCTAACCCCGCTCAAGCCACTTCCCATGCTGCCGACCCCCCCTGCGCCCTTTTTGGGGTCAAAGAAAAAACTCTGGTTATGAGCAAAGGGGCTACTTGCGCCCCCCTTCACAAGACTAGTGCTCTCCTCCGTGCTATGCGAATAGGCCTGGGAAGCTCCCTTATTAAATGAAAATGCAGAGGTGTAGTTCTTGTTGTGGTGACGACCACTCCCGATCATCCTCTCCAAGTGAGTATATACATAATAAGTCCTGGACTCACACAGAGCCTTCCGTATGTACACATAAGGTACCAGAATGAATAATATTTTATTTACCACATAAGAATGAGTCACATCAAAGTACCCTCTCAGTAGGGACAATTTATTTCCAACAAAGCTGGTGTCATGACTTTCAATTTTTTTTTCAATCTCATTCATAACCATGTTAGCAACTTTCTGTTTCATTATATTATTAATAGGATCATTTGTTTGTACTGTGTTTGTTAGACTTTCAAATATGTTATGCATGATCCCTTTGCTCGGTTTGGGCTCCACGTCGTCTGTCCTGTTGCTCCATCGCTCCGACTGGGGGAAGGCACTTGTACTCACTTGGCTGCAACTCATGTTGCTACTGTCTGCTTTAAATGGTTGAGACGGGATAAGTACCTGCGTCTTCATTTCCTGCTGGTTATACATGCTTCCATTTACAAAGTGCAGACGATTGTCTGCTCCCTGCGCTTCGTTCTTCGCCCCCACATGGTGTGGGTACATGCCGTCCCTTCTGCCTTCTTGGCTGGGAACCTTGTTCGTGTTTTGAAAATTAGGGTTCGCGCTTGACCCGCCGGGGTGGAAGGGGCCTCCTGATGTGGGGTACATTCCACCGCTAGCGGAGTGACTCACTTCACTTGGCGCGTAGAACTCGCTCCGCTTGCTACCCCATACGGGGTGCGCGTTGACATAACTGGGTGGCGCAGCACTGGCCGCGCCCAGGTCGTTGGGGTTGAGGAAGTTGTGCTGCAAATTTGCGCCACTCACATTGCCCCCGACGTGACCTCCGTCCCCGTCCAGGCTGTAGATGGCCGGACCGACGTGCAGACCCCTGTCCACGTTACTTTCACTTGGCGACGCGTCCGTGTACGTTCTATGTCCCATCATGGTGTCCATGCCAGACCTACCAGCCAAATTCATTTGGCTATTCCTCACGTAATTCATGCTACTCCATGACTCCTGTTCCTTCTCCTTGGCATTGTTCACCTTTCGCCTGCCGTGCATGTTGCTGTCGGCATAGCTGTTATTGTAATTCATCGTTGGGACGGGCTGACAAGCACGCAAAGGGGTGGGACGACACCTCTTCTTTTTCTTCCTTTCCTTTCTCTCTCTCTTTTCAGCACCAATGTGCGCACGTCCGAATGTACATACTTAATTCATGCATATGTACATCTGTTTCGCTAGCTCGTTTACGTACGCACGTGGAGCGCTAATTTTTAAGAAAAAAAAAAATATAAATAAAAATATGAACACGTTCAGGTAAATATTTGCATATAACTGCGCACAAAAGTGGGGAGTAAGTATCCAGCCACATTTAAATGCTTCATACTTACGTATGCAACAGGAAAATAATTCATTTGAGTTGAAATCGAATTGTAGCTGCTTATGAGTGAATTAAAAAGGGACTGCAAACGATGCAAAGAAATAAAAAAAAAAAAAAGCAGAAAAAGGGAATAAAAACCGGCAAGAGAAAAAGAAGAAAAAAAAAAAAAAAGAAAAAAGGGAGCAACAAAAATGGTGGGGTTTATAAATCGTAATTTATATGCAGCTCCCACAGTGCCATACGCATGATCGTCCCTTGGCCTCGCATAAGGCGAGATCGCGGCATGGCATGGGCCTCACTGAAAGGTGACTCGCAAGGCGCGTCAACAAGCACTCACATATAACAAAAGCGCAATGGCTAAGAAGATACAAATGCCTTTGCACAGCATGTGATTATGTACATGCGACAAAATAAATTCAAAATAAACTCAAAATAAATTCAAAATTAAAAAAAAAAAGAAAAAAACATATTATGCCATTATTTCCTACCCCCACTGACACCCTGTGCCGCTTTATTCAAACGTGACGATGATGTAGCAGCTACGTTAACTTCCGCAGGACGACGGGGAGGGGACTTTCCACTAATGTACAAGTTGCGCCCAGCTTAACACTTTTCTGTGCATCTTTACCTGCTCACGTGTTTACCCTTTTTTTGTTTTTAATCACATCAGTAAAACACATGGTGTAGTGTACAACCCTGAGGTAAACCCCCTGGATGGAACAGCGTGGTATGTTTCCCCCCCCTCGTGCCATATCCCTGCCAACTCATCACATCCTAGGGTACACCCGCGAACGCATAAAAGTATGCACCACCTGTGTGCAGGATAAACAAAAAAAGGTGGACGTTTGTAAACGCTTCAGAACTTCTTCTGCTTCTTCCATCCTGGGGGCAGACTACCCGTTACCCTGCGCCTGCTTCTTCCCTGGTGGGCGAACCAACTCGTCGCAGTCATATAAGTAATGGTTACTGAGCGACGCGTGTAAAACTTCGTCCCGCTTGCTCTCGGTGAACAAATCGGAGTAGTCCTCCTTTTGGCAGAGACGCACGAGGGTGAATCCGTGCTTTGCGGCGAGGTAGTACCTGTACGGGGTGAAGCAATGTCATGTAGTGGAAGCAAATGGGGGCAAGCAATATGAACATGGGTAACCATACCGCTGTGTAACGTACCTCCAGAAGACGCAGCTCCGCAGAGTGACCGCCTCATTAGCATAGTAGTGCTCATCTGAGTCCAAAATGTAAACCGTTTGGTTCTTCAAAGAGGTTAGGGGATAGCTGAAGGGAGGGATGTGCACCTTTTTCAGTTCAACGCTTTTGTCTTGCCTATTAAGGAACTCCGTTATGTACACGTATTTTTCATTATCATCTGTGTAAACCCCATCCGACTGGTTGGGGAAAGATAGTATGGAAGAGACGAAGTGTTTGTTGTACACATTCAGCTGATTTAAAACGTCTGTGTTGTAGGACAAGCTGGTAAAGTAAAGGCGTAATGCCAAAATTAGGTAAAAGGTGTCGTCTGAAGAAATGTTCATTTCATCCTCCGAGATAGCACTTACATAAGGGTTCAATACATCTGCTAATACGTTTTTTAATTTTACATTTTTGCCCATGTATATGTACGAATTGATGAGGAAGAAAAACACACTAATGTTAAGAAATGCCGGTGCTTTCCTCACAACGTCTTCTATGTTCATATAATTTTGAACAACTTGATCCTTCATATGTTCGTATGCTTCTACCAAATCAATCCTGTTTTCACTTACGCTGTACAATACGTTGCTTAGGGACTTGTACAAAGACATGAAAGGCACATGTACCTTTTCCCGATCGTAGTAGTAGCTATTAATGCGGAAATAATTTTCCCTCTTCGTAACAGCATCCTGTTTAATTATGTCACCCATGTGTTGTTGCAGGTGACCTCCCAATTGCTTTATTGCCTCGAGGACGTAGTAGAGCAACACTTTGGGTGACACTCTAATTCCACAGATGGTTAAAATTTTGAGCAACTTGGTCATTTGCAAAAACTCTTCTTCGTTCCCTTTGCCCACTTCACTATTGTTGCCACTTGCATGCCTGTCCTGTACATAACTTTTTATGTTGCGCACTTCTCCATTCAATATGTCTTTTTCACATGACCCCATGCACAGTTGCACCATTTCGTCCTCTCGCGGATACCCACCCCAGTGCTCCTCAAAAATGGATTTCACTTTTGCCTCATGTTCTTTTCTCCTCTGAACTAAATCCTCCACCGAGTCTGCATAATTTAAAATGGCATTTTTCAACCCGTTTACGTCTTTCATGGAGGAGAAATAATGTCCTCTTCGTATAGCCCGCACGTCGTTGCATCGTCGCTGCAGGGTTGGGAAAACGCTACGAGTTATGCTGAACGTCTTCATTGGGGGGGTAGTACAGAAATAAGCATTGGCGAAGCAGTTGGCTTTAACATATAAACAACGTTGTGATGTTTATTGGGAATAATTTATCTGGACATATGGGACTTCATTGTTGTGTGCACTCAATAAGTAGTACTCACTTTTCGTGCTAAAATCGCCTGAACAGGTCACGCAGTTTTTCCACTTTTTTTTTTTTTTTTTTTTTTATTCGCTTCTATCGCCTGTGAGCCAAAAATATTGGAAACAGCATAATGCTTCTTCGGGGGAAGGGAATAAATTACTCAGTCACATTTTGCACCTGTTCGAGCTTCTTCTCCTTTTTGAGATAGCAAAACATGTGTGTGCGTGTCATATGGCGCAAGGGTGCAGGCTTTTTTTTTTTTTTTTTTTTTTTTTTCTTCACTTCTTTGAGCGATATCATTTTTGGGGTGTGGGGGGGAAAGAAAGACGACATGGAGACCCCTGTGCACAAACAACCTTCGCAAGCATTTACCTGTTTGTTGTCCCCCCAGTAGCCATTTTTCGCCTATGTGCGGTATTAAATTAGGGCACATCACACAATGCTGCAGCGAGGGAGTGGATATTGTTCTACCTTTTTAAAAGTGGCGTCGTTTCGGTGACGCTGAATTGAACGGTCCGCCAGGGAGAGGCCATAGGCACTCAAATGAATACGTAACAAGGTACCTCATGCACATGTAGGTATATGTATATATTTATATATGCATTTTTTTTTCTTTGTCCTCACCCCATTCGGAATACCGGGGGCAAACAAAAAATGACACATAGAGTTTTTTGTCAAATGAGGAGACCATTTAACCGTGCTGGCTACAACACGGGCAGGTGACAATCCATGTTACAGTATCACATGGGGCAGTGTGATGTCTGCACCAGTGGTCACCACCCGGCCCACCTGCTCTTAGAAGTGATGCAGTTCGCTTGAACACTGTGTAAAAAATTTTGTAGAAACGTTTTTCGAATCGGTTGATAAACCATTTAAAAGATATGGACACACGCAAGGGTGGGTGTCTGTCATGAGAGAGTTTTTGTTTTTTTTTTTTTAAGCGAGCACGAAAGGGCCCAGATATAAAAACGTACGCACATGTACACATGTGTGTGTGTTCAAACAAAAAAAGGTCCACAGGGAAGGATATCATGTGGGGGTAGAAAGAGAGAGGGAGAATGGTCGGCGGGGGGGCCTGCACCGCACAAATGTAAGGGTGCAAAAAATGCAATAAAAAAAAAGAAAATGCACATGCGGATCGGGATGAAGAAGAAGGTGAAGCCCAAATGTAGCAACACGCATGGTATAATAATGAACGGGTAGAAATTTTATAAAATGCAAAAAAAAAATAAATAAATTAAAAA